TAAGTAATTTGCTAATGGCAAAAGTGGGATTCAAACTCAGGTCTTCCAGACTCTAAGTCTACTATTCTATCTACTAAAGTTTATGGAGGTTACATGACTTATCAAAGGTCATGCAACTAGCTAGTACCAGATCTAGAACTCAAACTCTGGTCCTCTGGCCTCAACCCATTAAACCACACTATCTCCCTAGAAACCTGGATTAGGAAAAGTTGCCAAAAAAAGGGATTAGAGACTAGAACAGAGATTGGCCAAGAGTTGAGATAATAACAATAATGACAAAAAATATTATCTATTATTTTATATTATATAATTATAATATAACACATATAATATATTTTTATATTATATATTATAATGAATTTTTTTATACATTGTGTTATAGCATATATTATAATATATTATTTTATATGATTTTTAGTAGTAGTAGTAGTATTACTATAAGAGCTAACATTATCTCATTGGAATAATTGGAGGCATGGCTATGTCATCAAGGCTGAGCATGAGATAAGAAAAGTCAGAGAAGATTAGGATTCCCAAAACTCTATTTCTGAGAGGAGATTGGAGGGGTATGGGAATTAAAGCATTTGAACCCATGAAAGTACGTATAGGAATGATGAATGGGGGCTGTTCTCTTGTCCCACTGGGCATAGCTCCCTCTCCTTTGTTATATAATGATAGTCAGCACCTTTGAGTTAACCCAAGGCCATCTCCAATATTCATACATACACATACACCCCAAGAGGGAAGGCACCTGACTTTACATTTGTTCTTGATCTTAGCCTCGAGAGACGCAGTACCAAACTTTACATTTAGAACTTCTTCCTTAGGCTTCTGTGTAATAGAGAATAAGTGGGTTGTCTGAGATTGCCAAAGGTTTCTCCTCTTACTGAGCAAGCCTGGCCTACCCCAAAGGAAGGGCAGAGTAGGTGGGCACAGTATAAAAGCCGCATTGTTCACAGCTCAGTGTGGTTGCATGAGCAGCTCTCAAAGGAAAGTTTGCAAGGAGTTACATGGTATGGCGACATTGAAGTCAACTTTGGAGGCCACATATGGAGTCACTTATTAGCCCATGGGCATCAAGCTTTCAGAAAATAGAAAGAAACCAATTATATTCCTCCTCTACCACTACCACCAAGAGGGTTTTCTGAGAGACATTCCTTCATAATAAGGCAGTTTCTAACCAGAAGAGAAAATAATGAGTGCAGAATAAAAGCTTGCATGATTGAAACATTATTTTCACTCATTGCCTGACTTCAGAACTCTCACCAGAAAACTCACTGAGCAGATGGAAGAGGGAGGGTAATGAGGGAAAGGCAGAAAAACAGGTGAATGTAAAACATAACAAAACAGAACAGAAAAAGATGGGAATCAATTGTTCTTAAAAACATGTCTATCCCAGGATTTCACTATTTCTCTCCTTCATTAGGGAATAGGATTAGCCAATATTTATATGGCACTAGCTATGTGCTAGGCCCTGTGCTAAGCGCTTTACAAATATTATCTCATTTGATCCTCACAACAACCCTGGGAGGTAAATACTATTATTATCCTCATTTTACCGAGGAGGAAACTGAGACAGATAGCAATTAAGTGACTTGCCCAGGGTCACACAGATAGTTCAGTTGTCTGAAGCTGGATTTGAACTTGTCTCCCTCACTCCAGGCCCAGCATTCTATCCACTGTGCTACCTAGATGTCCGCAATTAGAGTGTGATTTATAGTTTAAAAAGTAATTTTCCTCACAACAGCCCTGGAAGGTAGATAGTGAAAATGTTATTTTTACTCGTTTTATAGTCAGTCAGTCAATAAGCATTTATTAAGCACCTGCTATGTGCTAAGCACTGGGGATACAAGAAGAGGGAAAAGATAGACCTTGCCGTCCAGGAGCTCACAATCTATAGTTGAGGAAACTGTGGCTTACATAAGACCATAGTGGCAGAACCAATTGAATTACTCAGCTCAGTTCAATTCAATTCAATTCAACAAGGATTTATTAAAATACCTACCTGCTAGACACTAGGGATTTAATGGGGGAAAAAAACCATGCCCTCCAGGAGCTTACATCTTATTTGGGGGAAACTACATGTGCATAGCAAAGTTAATATGAACTATATTCAAAAGCAGTATTAAATAATTGGGAGGTGGAGAGGAAATGGGTTTATAACTGAGGCAATCAGGAAAGGCTACTTAGAGGAGATATCAACTTAAGTTTGGAAGGGAATTAGGCATTCCAGGAGTTGAGGAGAAGAGGGGGATCATTCCAGACCGGGCAAAAGCAGAGAGATGGGAGGACTCTCCTGTCCAGGTAATAACAAGTAGGCAACGTTGGCTAAAATGTCAAGGGGAGGTTAGCGTGTAATCGACTTGGAGAGATAGGATGGAACCAATGATGAGGGACTTTAAATACCAAGTCAAGGAGTGAGCGTTTTATCCCTGAGAAAGGTGGGAGTCACTAAAGCTTCTTGAGCAGGGGAGTGATCCGTTTCCAGAGGTGGGGAGCCTGCGGCCTCGAGGCCACATGTGGCCTTCTAGGTCCTTGGGTGCTGCCTTTTGACTGAGTCCAAGTTTTACAGAACAAATCATTTTATTAAGGGGATTTATTCTGTGAAATTTAGATTCAATAAAAGGGCCATAGTTGAGAACCTAGAGGTGGAGGACCTACATGTGGCCTTGAGGCCGCAGGTTCACCACCCCGGTTTAGGAATATTAATTTCATTCAGAGCAAGGTTTCCAGACTCCGAATTCAGTGTACTCTCCACTACACCACACTGTCTTCATCAGTATCCTTTTTGCTGGGGTAGTTGTGTGGACAAAGGATTCTTCACCTTTTTTGTATCATGTGCCCCTTTGGCATTCTAGTAAATCAACCTATGGACCCCTTTTCAGAATAATAATTTTTAAACGTATAAAATAAAATCCGTAGGAAATCAATTATATCAAAATATCATTATCAAATTAAATAAAAAGTGCTTGAACCCCAGATTCAGACACCCCACCCTATAGGGATAATAAAACAGCTTGACCCTGTATTACCCCATCCCCTCCAAAGTTACTTACTCAGCCAACTCTACTGAACACCTCAGAAGAGAGCTCACTCTGAGGCTCTTTGGCTATGTGTAAATCCCAACTAACAAGAAAGGATTAAGGGAGATGATGAAGGCAGAAATCGAAAACAGGAAAGGACAAATTCAAAACTCACAAAAGTCCTCATTAAACAAAAATATAGATTGGAGTTTATTTGAGAGCTGCTTTGCCATTTTTCTCTATGACATGAGACTGGCAGGCCTCTGGTATGTTAGCTATTGATCCTGGTGGCAAAACTTACTCAAACTGAGCTTGTAACTTGGGAAGTACGGGAGGGCTCTTGCTAACCAGTCAGTAAGGCCTACTGGAGTCCCCCCAAAATCTCAAGATCCTAGATTCAGAGCTGGAAGGAACCCCAGAAAGGGTCTGGCCCCCTCATTTTACAAATGAGGACAGTGAGGCTGAGAAAGGATAAATGATTTGGCAGGTTTTAAGTATCAGCAGTGGCATCTGACCCGGCCAGGTCATCTGACTCCCAAGCAATGGTTCTTTCTACTGCATTGTGTTACCTGAAATCAAGATTCAGAGACATAGGATTGTAGATTTAGGGCTGGAAGGAACAGAGAAGATCATCGGGTCCAACCCCATCATTTTAGAGATGAAAAAACTGAATTCCAAAGAGACTCCCCATCTAATGGAAGAGTCATGGCAGCTCTTTCTTTTGGTAACTTCCAAAGAAATGGTGGGAAAAGTTTATAGTACTCTTGTAAGAAAGATATACCCAAGGGAAAAAATGAATGAAGTTGTAAGGAATGGAGGTATTGAAAAAAACGTTCATATAACTCAGAGATCTAGATTCTACCATTTTCTGTTCTAAAAGAGAAAAGTGAAAAGTCCCATTTTCACTTGCACAACTTGCTCTTCCCATGATGAGGATCTGAATTATACTTTCTTCTTCCAAGTAATCTACCAGTCAGCCCAAGTTTGGAGCCTGAATGTTAGGTTTATGGTTTGCTTACTCTACTCCCCTCATCTAGTATGACATACAGACAGATCTAATAAAGGCCTCTTGTTAAACTTTAACTAAGAAAGGGTCCGCCTCCTACAAATAAAGGAAAAGGGCATCTCCACCCATTGGCTTTGGTTTTATAGAACTGTAGGCCACAAGGTACCCTTCCTGAGGACATCTGTAAGACAAATTGACCTAGAGGTGTGAAGATCTAACTATAGGCAAAGTACCCTTTCTCCAAAAACCTTTTTCCCAGGAAGGGCAAAAATATATAGAGAAAACCAGTCCACTCAGAAATAGGTTCTTAAGCATAAACAGGCAATACAGCCCACTTAATCTAAGGAAAACTTTTCTTTTTAGTGGAGAATAAGGAGTGAATGGGTCCCTGGAAGACTGAGAAGAAACATAATCATGGGTTAGAACATTGATAGCTCCTAAAAGAGTCTCACATTAAGTTGATCCCAACTTTTTTTTAAATTCTGCTCATGCTTTAAGGAACTTTAGGAAGCAGATACTACTCCTTCTCTGACCAGGCAGAGCTGCTATGAGGTATAGACACACTTAGAGATCTGGGCTAGTCAGATGTTTTAATGGGGTTATCAAGGGCCCCCCATTTGAGTTCTTAGACACACTTGGTTGGATCCTTCTTAACTTCTTCCCTCCATCCTCCCCTCAGAGTCCCAGGGAAGACCCTACACAAAAGGGAGAAGCAGAGAGGAGTCCTCCTAGGGAAAAGGAAGGTGCCCATAGACCTATATATCACACCTCTCCTCTACCACTAACTTCTCCCCCTGCTCCCAACAAATCTATTGTATATTTATCATGTGTCCTGCTGTGAACATTTAGGTTACAATTGCAGTAGGTTGCACGGATTATCTTATTCTGTGTTATGTGAGGTTCATTGAATCTCATGCAGATTTATGCAAAATAATATGCAAATCACAGAGCCCGGGCCCTTTTCTTAACAGGACTACAGCATTGCTCCTCGGTGGCACCTGGGACCTGGGGATCCTTTCTCCACTTACGTTTAGCGCACAGCCTGGGACTTGTCCCTGCAGCCTCTCCGGGTTAGCCGTGCCGCCGTTGGGACCTCCCGCCTGGACTCCCACCACCCACTCCTCTTGGGACTGCCCCGGCAGGGCTGGTGTGGGTGCAGCCACATGCCTGGTGGGAAACATGCTCCAGGCAGAGCCTGCCCCCCCGGGCTGTGGGATCGTCCGGTGGGCTCCCCTGTTCCGTGGGTCCCCTGTTCTGCCTCTGGGTGCAATTCGAGGTTTCCCTCCACAAAGTTTGATATGTTATAGGTGCTGGGGACCAGAGACAGGCTCCATGGCTCAACGTGCCCTCAGCACCATCATCCCACCCCACCCAGGTCCAGGGTTCCACTCCAGTGAGGGACAGAGTGGGAGGGTGGGTCAATGAGATGAGGAGGAGTTTTCTGAGGCTTTTGTCCCCTGCCGGCCTCCTACCCCTCTACATGTCAACCTTCCTGAACCTGGGGGACAACGCATCACTCTGACCCAGCCTGCCTCCTCTCATATAGTGGGAAACGATGAGAAAAGGGGTTGCGGAGTGGTAGAGGAGGTGGCATGAGGGTAGATCGGAACAAGGGCTTAGCCTAGCCTTACCAAAAGTTTGCCAAAATCATTCAGCCATAGAAAATCTATTTGCATCAATCCACCTGTATTTTTCAGTATCCCTCTTCTGCCTCCCCTTGTATTCAGATCCCTGTGTTTAGCACTCCCCTACCTATTGTCTCTTAGCTTCCAATATACTCAAAGATACTCACCTCTTCCTCCCTACCCCCCACCCTCAGAGCCCCAGGAAAGACCCTACATAGAAGGGAGAGGCAGAGATGAATCCAGCCTCCCAGGGAAAAACCAACTCCGGAGAAGCGGAGAGGCAAAGGTCACTTCTTTAATCCCGTTTCCCCATTTTACGGATTCATTGCTTTGTTTTCACTAGCTCAGGCCTTGTTTTTTTTTTTTAGGTTCAGCACTCATTTCCATGGCTAGGCTAGTGGGGGGTGTTCCCTTGTGTTTCCAAAAGTTTACACTTCAGCTGTCTCACAGGCTTATTGTGAGGATGAGAGACCAAGTGCGGTGTCCAGTGCCCTGAGCTTTGCAGAGGCAAGCATCCCTCGAAGTAAAGCCCCATGCTCTAGAAACGTACCTGGCTCAAGAAAGGACCCTGGGGGGTTGTACTTGACCAAGAATCCAGGGGTGCACAGCGATATGGGCATTTGCATGACTGAGAAGAATCGCTGATGTCTTGTTTGCACATGTCACTTACTTGAATATGTTCCAATAAAATGATTCGAAAGCAGGCTGTTGCTATAAAGTGATTTATAAATCCTTCCTGGTGAGGACTGAGGCCCTTGACCTACAGAGCAGCCCCCACCCCCGCCCCGCCCCCACCGTGCTCCCCGGGAAGACCTGGCCTGGCTGGAGTGGGAGGTATCAGAGAATGGGTTAAGCTTGAAGTGGGCGATGGTCAGGCAAATGGCCTCTTGCAGGCAGCACTTTCCTCTTCCGTTGCCTAGAAACGGAGTTTACATTCTAGGGTGGAAATTACCATATGGAGCCAATAATTATTTTTTTCTTTTTTTGAGGCAGTCACAGGGTTACAGACCTGCTCTGTCATGGAGCAAACAAGGGAGAGAGAAGAGGAGAAGAGAGAGAAAGACAAAGATTTCATGTTGTTCTATTCAGAAATAATTCTTGGTAAATGCCCATGTTAGCTGGTTGAGTTGTGAAACTGCACCCTTTGTACAACTGTGTCATAGGTTAGGAGCTGGAAGGAACCTTGGAGATCATTTAGTCCAGGCCCCTCATTTTATAGATATGGAAACTGAAGCCCACGGGGGAAAGGGGGTGGTAGGGGTGGCTTTCCAAAGGTCAAACTGCCTCAGGTTGCAAATTCGACACAGCCCAAGCCTACCACTGATTGATTGGTGTCTGACAGTGAGAAAGAGAACCATCTTTCTAAAAGTATCTGGTCAGAGACGTCTTCTTTTCTTGGCTCTTTCCTACCCTCCAAGAGATAGCATGGTATAATCTTGACAGGGCTGGCCAGGATACCAGGTCAGGCCCTGATTGGTTCACATCTTTCAGTCAGATATTAGGTGAGTGACCTAAAGCAAGTCAGCTATCTTCTCAATGACTTAGGAAGATGAGTTTCCTCATGGGAAGTTCCCTATGCCAGTGAAATCACATATCCTTTCCCTATTCTCCTCTCTACCCTGCCCCCAATCTATCCCTACTTTAGATCTTGTCAGAAGAGTAAACTAGGAACTTAGCAAGTGAACAACGGTCAGCCCTTGGCATTTTTTCTGTTTAGAAGAAGGTTCAGGGCAAGAAGGGAAAGGAAGAATTACTAGAAACCCCATGAACACAGTTATCCTGTCTTTATACATCTGCCCCCTGGGTCATGGGGAATTCCCAAATTGAGAGAAAAGAGGGGAAAGTAGTCAATTTCTATTTTCCCCATTCAGCTAATCTTGTGTTACAGATGGGGAAACTGAGGCCCATAGATGTAGACTGACTTTGCAACTAACTTTATTGTGACTTTAGAGGAGCCAGGGCTAGAGTCAAGGTGTCCAGATTCCCAGATCAGTGCTCTTTCTAGAACACAGACTTGTCTTTAGCCTGGGATATGGCCTTAGACTTGCCCCACGCTGCAGTTCTTGCCATCACCCTTGCTAATTTAGCTTGATGGAATATTTTCTGTCTGTCCAGTGTGTGCCAAGCCAGCCCCCATCTCTTCCTGTGCCCTCTTCTCATGAGTTTTGAGTATCTCCTCACTTAGGGGGTAGGGAAGGTGTTGTACTTGATGAATCCATCAGCACACAGTAATATGGGGCTGTAACAGCAATGCCAACTACATACCCAGGGCCAGGGCTTACTCAGCCACTTAGGGCATGATGCTAATAAGACTGCCATTCTCTTTTAGATTGCTTAGATTTGCTCCATTCCACAATTATATATTGCATGCACGCACGTGCGCGCGCACACACACACACACACACACACACACACACACACACCCCAACCACAGATATCCATCTCACCAACTTGTACTATTGGTCTCCCAACACCCCATGTGGATGCACTCAAAATTCACAGTTGTCTTCTAATAGAGAATGGTGGATATAGTCCCTGCCTCCCCTCTCCCCACCCAAAACTAAAGTGTACTAATTTCTGTAATAAAAATGGCATACATTTACATAGCACTTGAAGGTTTATACCAACCCATTTAACCCAGTGAGGTAGTACAAACCTTAAAATCCCAGCTTTACAAAATAAGGAGATCTAAGACCCACAGAGCTTAAGTGACTTGCTAATAATCACACAGTTTATAAGCACCAAGACTTGGATTCAGTCCCAGGTCACCAACCAGGACTTATTCTACTGGAATAAGTCTCTCTGTCTTTAGTCACCATTATTCCTTGGTCATTCATGTATCTGAGGTGCCAGAGGGAATAAATGACCCAGACTCAGACCCTACCCTTGGCGTGATCCCAGTCTAAGACAGACAATGGTATGGACATGGATAGAGCATGTAGAGATGACCAAATAAAACACCGGATGTAGTGATAGCCAATAGAAATATGTACATATTACACACGAATTAACCAAGTTCAGGGTCATTTTATTTTCAGGGTAAAGAACAAGGCTAAGAACGTTAATGTACAGGTCACTCAGGATGACTGCTTGAGAGCTAGAAGGGAACCGAAGGGTCATCTAGTCCAATGCCTCTTTTTACAAACAGAAGTGAGTTACCCAAGACCATTGAGTTAAGAAGTTAGTAAATTGGAATGTAGGCCCTCTGACCCTAAATCCAATGCCATTCCAACTGTACTTAGGGTTAGTTATAATTTACTCATCTCCATTTTCCCCTTTCTCACACCATACTGATTCTTACAGATGTAGGCTAGGTAAATGAGGGAGGAATCGTTGGCCAACCACGGGCCCCACAAGGCAACAGTCCAGGACACTAAAGTCTGAAAGCGCCCCAAAATGGGTTTAGACATGCCTACTTAGCAGGCTGGTTTAGCTCAAAGAACTACAGATGCAGAAGTCCTGATCTTGTTTCAGTAATTGAGTTCTTCCCATTTTAATTGGCTGCCTCAATATCTTATTTCCACTTGATAAGGTTACATATAAGTCTCCTTAGGTCGATGTGACAAGGTTTGGTCTCCAATGAATTCTAGGCCCCAGGCAATTTGAGCTCCCCTGATTACTGAGAGCAGGGCCTTTACTATTTTTATTGGCAACTTTGCTAGTGATAAGCACATCCTCTTTTAAGAATGATAGACAGTATTTGGAGAGTACTCTCCAAACCATGTCTGAATTGGCAGAGGACAAGGTCAGCCCAACTGGATAATTTGAGAGGTATCAGTCCCTCTATCACCACCACCCTAAAAAATAATAAATCCACTTCTCTTTCCAACTAGTCTGCACCAGTGCCTGATACTCTGAACTGTCTCATTCTCTGCATTGCAACCAGAAGACCCAGTGAAATTGAAAATGTCCTTAAGAAAGGGCCCAGATCCCTATAAGTCCTATAGCCCAGATTAACGGATGACATGACCTAGCCATTGTTCACAGAGCTAGCAAGAGCAAGCTGATCAGATACATTTGGATAGAGAACCCCATGGCAGGGGCTCAGTCAGTGCATGGGTAGCATGAGGGCCCAGGCACCTAGGACTGAGCACTGAAAAGAGAAGGAGGTTGTAGGAGTGGAATGAGAGCCATCAATGACAACTCCTTAACAACTTCATAATTTTGCCTTGGAAAGAATGCTGAAATAGGAGGCAGGAGGCCAGACATCCAGTTTTTTCTCCCCAGCTTCATGTCGAGGTGGGTGGTGAGTTACATAAGCTCTCTAGGTCTCAGCTGCCTCAACATAGGATCGATAAAAGCCCGAAAAGAGAAGCAGTCAGCTGCCCAGTGAGGACCCAACCCCAATAGAGTAGGAATTCAGGAAAGAACCCAGAGGAGGGCGTTACAAAAGGATCATAGATTCAGAGCTAAAAGGGACCACAGAGGCCATCTAGACCAACCCCCTCACTTTACAGATGGAAACTGAGGCCTAGAGAGTAAGTGGCTTGCCCAACCAGTGTCATGAGATTATAGGATTATAGATTTAGGGCTATAAAGGACCTGAGAGGCTACCTAAGCCTCATTTTACAGACAAGAAAAATGAGGCCTAGGGAGGTTAAATGATTTAGCCAACATCACATAACTTTAGGGTGTCAAATTTTTGGAGGTGGAAGAGACTTGAAGGGATCATCTGGTCCAGGCCTTTCTCTTCAAAGGTAAACCACATGAACTAAGGCAAGTTGTGTAGTCTCCTTTGGCCTCAGTTTTCCCATTTGTAAAATAAAGGGATTGAGCTGGATGGTCTCCGGAGTTCTTTCCAGCTCTATATCCGTGGTTCTGTGATGTCTTGAGAGCCTCAGAGGAGCAAAGAGGCTTCCAACTAAAAGATCCAATCCTATGGTCCTTTGGGAAGGGAAAACATATCCGTGGGGCAATCTTCTCCTTTTATCTCCCTAAATGGAGGCAATTCCTAAATAAGGTCTCTGGGATTAAGTGTATATCTTAGGGAGGATGGAAGTTGCTTGTTGACTGTCAGATGAAGGCTTAAAAGACATGAAAGGTTCACCCCAAACAGTACTTGGCCCAGCTTTACAAAGGGAGTATATTTCCTACCAGTCAATACAGAACATGGAATAATGGGCAAGACCCAGGACTAATGGTCAGGGGCAGGTAGATTGGAGCTGTGCTTTCATCCTTTTTCCATGACCCACTGAAGCAGAAACCAGTTGGTATGAGAGTGGGTGAAGGGCACTGTGGTTGCCACTGACAAGGCATCCATAAGGACTTTGCTTCTCCCTGGTTACCACCGGCCCAGATTGTGGTAGGAAGTGGTGACAATGATAAGACAATGGGACATTCTGGTGGGGGTAAGGAGTTGGGAGAGGGTTTGGCTGTTTCTCCTGTGGCAAAATGACTAAGGTTGTAGGCGCCCTCTCTCAGAGTTCCCAGTATCCCAACTGTGGGTAAACTACAGAGCCCTATGACGTACTTTGGGAGTTGTTATTTCACCACTTTTGGCTAAAGCTGCTAATACACACTACAACATGCTAAACTTAGATGTGGTTACTCATAAACTGCTTTGATTAAAATATCCTCTTATATTTATTTGCCATTTAATACTTTTTAGTACACTCTCCTTTAATCCGCATAGCAACCTCATGAGACGGGCAAGGCAGGTTTAAATACATCCATTTTATAGATGAGGAAAGACAGACAGATAGAT